TGAGATAAGTACTAGGAGGTTTACTCCATGGCTTGGAGGCCAGCTGCACATGCTAGGGGAAAAGGCAGCTCAGATAGAGAAGGGAGCACCAAATAAAGGGTGTTGGGAGGATCCTCCCAGGATGGGAGATGCATGCTGAAAGTAGACTATAGACCAAACATGATTGCCACTCGGTGCCTCTTTTGCAAAACACAGCAACCAAAAGGAGAAAGAGAGAGAGAGAGAGAGAGAGAGAGAGAGAGAGAGAGAGAACAAAAGGGAATGCCCTGCCACAGAGGCAGGGTGGGATGGGGGTGGGGGGGGTGGTGGAAGGGATACTGGGATCAGTGGTGGTGGAGAATGGGCACTGGTGGAGGGATGGGTATTTGATCATTGTATGACTGAAACCCAAGCACAAAAATTTGTAAGTCTACAACTGTACCTCATGGTGTCTCACTAATAAAAATTTTTAAAAAATACCTCATTCATAATAATAGAAAATATAAATTAAAATAATGAGATACTATTTCTTGTCTAATAGACTAGCAAAGGTTGATCAGGTCCAAGTTGGAGAGGTGTCTCTGTCAGCAGTCTCGGACCCTGTTGGTAGGAGTCAAGTGAAGGATTGGTAAACAATCTTTATGCTGATACAAAAATTACAACTGAGTGGGGCTAGAGTCATAGTACAATGGGTAGCACATTTGCACTGCATGAGGCTGAACTTGCATGCTGACCGGTTCAATCCCTGGCATCCCATATGGTACCTGAGTATCACAAGAGTAAATCCTGACTGCAGAACCAGGAGTAACCCTTGAACATGGCCAGGTGTGGCCCAATACCAAAAGAAAAAAAAAAAGAAGAAGGAAAGAAAGAAAGAAAGAAAGAAAGAAAGAAAGAAAGAAAGAAAGGAAAGTTGCAACTGAGCACATCTCTTCCACAGCAAGTCTCATGCTAGGAGCAACACAGTCAAGTATGGAAAGTGTATAGTTAGAAGGATGTGTAGAGCATTCTCAACTGTGCAAAACTGGAGGAAAATCTCTAGTTCCCAACTGCCCACCATTAAAATCTAATTATCTTACACCAAAATACAGAAATAAGATGTAACAATTTTTAAAATGCATTAGATTTGTATGGGCTGACACAGAACATATCCAAGACAAAGACTACGAACATATCCACGACAAAAAGACATAGGGAATTTCTCGCTAGAACTCACAGAAACTGTTAGCAGAGATTACTCTCAGGGAGAGGGGCAGGATGGAGGTCAGAGGGACCGTGTTCGGAACAACCCCAATTTCTTGCGTTTCTTTCTTTACTTTCTATTGCCTTTAAAAATAATAATAATAATAATAATAATAAGGTACGGGCTGGAGCGATAGCACAGCGGTAGGGCGTTTGCCTTGCACGCAGCCAACATGGCCGACCCGAGTTCGATTCCTCCGCCCCTCTCGGAGAGCCCGGCAAGCTACCGAGAGTATCTCGCCTGCATGGCAGAGCCTGGCAAGCTACCGGTGATGTATTCGATATGCCAAACACGGTAACAACAAAGTCTGCAATGGAGACATTACTGGGCCCGCTCAAGCAAATTGATGAAATTGATGATGAGCAGGAACTATTTTTCTAATTTAGGAAACAATTTTTTTTTTGCCTTTTGGGTCACACCTGGCGATGCACAGGGGTTACTCCTGGCTCTGCACTCAGGAGTTACTCCTGGCGGTGCTCAGGGGACCATATAGGATGCTGGGAATCGAACCAGGGTCGGCCGCGTGCAAGGCAAATGCCCTAACCCGCTGTGCTATTGCTCCAGCCCCAGAAAACAATTTTTTTTGTGAAGTAAAATGATTTTTTTGTGAAGTAAAATTGGAAGAAATTCAGGCAAGTGTGAGAGAAGACAAAGACAGGAAATACATGTTCTAGAGCAAACACGAGCTTCTCTAGGGGAGGAGATAAAAGCCTAGAAAACAAAACTTAAAAATAAAAGAGGTCATCAACACCTCAAGAGATAGAGGTTTTGTCTATTTTAGAGCACTCTTGAAGATCAATGAAATAATCTTATCTTTAAATACACAAAATAGACCCAATGGGTTGTTTTTTTTTTTCAATAGCTCCAGCCAAAGTGTTTAGATCCTTGGGTTCTACAATTCTTGTTTTTGCTTTTGGCACTTGACTTTCATTCATCCTTCCCATATCTCTTCTGTGCTCACCATGTGTGAGGAGCTGGGTCTCGGGCCCTTAGTCTCCTACAGCAGCATATGAATCTGTTCTGGTTCCCATGCAGAAGGCAGCACCAGGCTTACCAAAGAGTATGGCCAGCCAGCCCACACTTAACTGGACATGCCTTGTGACCCCACCAGCAGTACAAGGAAAGCAGCAGCATCCTTGCCTTCTCTTGAAAAGCTCACTCGATGGCAGGGAAAGACCAAAAAAAAGGAAATTGCAGGTTCTAGACAGAACGGGTGAACCTGGTGACGGATGGGGTGGAGTGGGGTGCACGTACCGCAGAGTGCTCCGGGCATGAAACCCAGCCTAGAGGCACAGAAAGGCTTCCTGGGGGAAGGAGCATCCCAGTGGAACCTGGAAGCTTGAATGGAATTTGCCAAGGAGGAGGAGAAGGGGGGCGAGTGGATGGAGGATTTGGGTGTGAGCAGTGGGGAAGGAGCGAAAATGAAAGAGACGGGTTGAGCTGTTCGCTTCTGTGTGGTGCTAAGGAACAGGGGCGTTAGCCTGAGAGGAGCAGAGTGGACGTCCCATCTGACCTGTGCTGTGGATTGGTCACATGGGCCACATCTGGAGTTGGATTAGAGGAAGAAGAAGAGGAAGGAGGAGACATTGTTTCCCAACAAGGCTCTCTGCAGCAGCCCTTCTGATGATGTGCACTAAGTCTAGGGAGCTCAGACTATTGTTTACTTGATTAAAAAAAAGTGCAATTTATGTAGATAGAAAACATAAACTGAATACAGAAGAGGAAACAGGACTCAGGTCTCTGGCAATGTCTCCAGGGTTGGGTGATTGTACTGAAAGTGGTGAAGGGCGCCATGAGGGGTACTGTGAGTCCTGGTTGGGGCCCAAGCAGCCTGGAAAACGAAGTCGTAAGATGAGGGAACCTGGGTGCTGAATAAAGGCCCCGCTGGCCACCATGTTGCTACTCCATATCTCACTGAGGCCCCTGGTGCCAGAGCTCAGTTTCTTCATTTGACTTCCATGCTTCCTCCTTCCTCTGGTCTCAGGGATCCCAGCTCCTCTGCTGGTCCTCACTTCAGCAGCCTCTGTGAAGGAGCCTCAGGAGTCCAGACCTGGTCTCCGCTCAGTGGAGGAGACTCACGCTCATCCCACGAGACCTATATGCTGCTCCATGCCAGTGTCCACTCAGCCAGACCTGGCCCGGGAATCCCGGCTTTGGAGCCAACCTTTTACATGTACTTGATTATCTAAAAAAAAAAAAAAAATTCCCAACGAAGCTCCTGCCCTGCACCCCCATTCCCAGACCCAGGCCTCCTGCCTCCCCATCTCTAGGAGGACAAATCACTCCTTCCAGCTTTCAGCGGGAAACCTGGATATTGACTGGAGTCTCATTTTTCTCATACCCCATGCCCAATTTTCAGGAAGTCCTGCTGTTCCTGCTTTCAGACCACTCCAGTGGAGGAGTGGACCGTTTCTCACTCTCTAGCACACTCACATCTAGCCTGGTCCAGATGAATTATCCCAAAATCCAAGTGAGGTGATGCCATTGCCCCCTATCAAGCTCTGAGTGTTCTCATCTCACTCAAGAAAAAACAAGTTCCCACAATGAGCCCAGTCATTTGTTATCTGCACCTCCTCCCCTCTGATCGCCTCTCCCCATCTGGTTTTGCTCACCGAGCACTGCAGGAGCCCCTACCTTCCCCAAAGCTGATCCCTCTTTCACCTCCTCCCCTTCTTCTTCACACCCTCAGAAGCCTCTGTCCGGCCTCTGCTCCCACCAATCTGCGTTTCCCAACTTTTCTCCCACAGAAAGGGTCAATTTCTCGCCTAACATGTGATTTACTTTTGTTTGCCTTGTTACGTTCCTCCAATCACAAGCTGAAGGAAGGCCGGGCGTTTTGTCTGTTCTGTTCACTGTGGTAGCCCCAGCATCTCCGAAAGGAATACACAGTAGGTTTCATCCCAAGTCTGGAATGAATGGGCAGACCCCAGAGAAAGAGCGAGCTCGGGCTCAGGAAGGACCACTGAACAGCGGCAGGGATGGGCATGAAAGTAAAGGGCAGTAGGGGAGGAGACTGAAGCCCAGATGGGGTCCTAGGGGATAAAAGGTGGCAAGACTTAAGGGGGGAAGATGGAAAGACCCTTGACACACACACACCAGCCCGCAGGGAGGTAAGGCCCAGGAGAGAGGCAGGGGCCGACACAGGGCGCCGGGAGGGGAGGCGGCCCGCAGAGCTCCCTGCTCGCACGATGGGGCACAGCGGGTAAGAGACCGGAGCCCGTTTATTCCAGGCGCCTTCAGATATTGCACCATAGGAGCTGGATGGACAAGGAGGCTCTAGAGTGAGACAGATGCGGCGAGTTAAGGGCGGAGACAGCTGGACCTCGCAGGTAAGTGACCACGCGGGACCGAGCGGGCCGTAAAGGACGTTAGAGTGGGGTTAGGTTCCAGCGAAGACGGCTGGAGTGGGAGGGGGAAAACGCCCAGAGCTCGGGAAGGCGGCGCCCAGGCACGGCGGGTCCGGGAGGTGGTGGGCGGCCGTGCACTGAGCTGGGATGGCCGGGACCGAGAGGAGAGACGCAGCACCTGGACTCCCGGGGGCAGGAGAGCGCGCGCGCGCGTCCCCGGGAGCGCGGCCGCGCGCGCGGAGTGCCGGGCCCCGCCCGGCCGCCCAGCTCGGCCCCGGAGGCTCCGCCCCGGCGCCCGGCTTAGGGGCCAATAGGAAGGCGGCGCCGGCCTCCCGGAGCCCGAGGCCCCGCCCCCGGCCGGCGCGCGGCCAGCCAATGGGCGGCCGAGCCCCGGCGCCCTGTGCGCGCAGCCCGCGCCGAGCCGGCTCAGAGCGAGAAAAGCGAACCTAACCCGTCGGGGCCGCTGCTCCGGACCCGCCGCCGCCGCCGCCGCCGCCGCCGCCGCCTCCTCCCCCCGGATCGGGTGTACTGTCCCAACCCGAAAGTCCAGTTCTGCGGCCCGGCAGCGGCGAGCGAGCGCGATGACACAGGAGTACGACAAGTGAGTGAGGGCGCCGGCGTGCCAGGCCCACGGGGTGGCCCCGGGCCGCCGCTGCCCCGACTGGCCGGTCGCACCTGCAGCCGCGAGGCCGACCGGGCCCCCCGGGGGAGTGGGGGTGGGGGTGGGCAGCCGAGGGAGGCCAGCGGGCAGCGAGAGGAGCATGCGGAGCGGAGGGGGACGGGATGGGGTGGGGAGGGGGAGACACAGCCGGTGCAAGGCCGCGAGGACCGGACGGAGCCCGGGTCTCCCGGGGGGCGCGCGCCCCCACCTTGCACCTTCTGCGGGGCTGCGGCCTCTGCCCCTCCGCCTTTGTTCCCCTCCACCCCTCAGCCCTGTCCTTTGGGGGAGATCTCTTCCTCCTCCTCCTCCTCCTGCCCACCTCGTCCCGGGCCGCAGACGCCCGGGGTGGAAGGTTAGGGGGGGACCGGCCCGCGCCTCTGGTCTCCGCGTGCTCCGCGCGGCCGCGCGTGCGCCCCCGCTGTCCCCCCGGCCCGGGCCGCGGGTGCCGAGCTCCGCAGCTGGTGGCTCGCGGCTGGGACCCTCGGGGCAGCCGAGATGCCGGGACAAGTTTGCGGGGCTCCGCCGGCCTGCTGGCGCTTTCTCTCCCCGAGGGGGCTGGCTGGCTGCTGCAAAACGGCTGTAGGAGTTCCTCGGCCCCTTGCATCACTGATGGCAATTACAGATTACCGTGGGTATTTTAAAAAAAAAAAAAGAAAGAAAGAAAAGAAAAGAAAAAGAAATGCTCAGAAAGTAGCAAGAGTCCGAAACGCCGAAATCGGGGGTTTGTGACAAGCTGTGCCGACGACGGTGGTGCCTTTCTTAGAACCGGTGGGTTCTAAAGCGTTTGTTGCGTGTTGGACCAATGCGAGGTGGTTAAGGTAAGGTGGACAGAGCCAGGGAGAGTGAGTTCTGGGGTTTGTCACTTCTGAGCAGAGATTTGTTTCCCAAGAAAAGATTTGCATGAAATAACCTTTTTTTTTTTCTAAAGTAAGTCTTGCCAAAACAATCATTTCTAATTCCGACCAGTGCGTCTAGAGCACAGAGATATCCTCCCAGTTGAATAATTACTCATTTGGCTTAAGTGTGCTCCTTTCTTCAGGATGGGAAGATGAGATGTTAGGATGTGGAATAGCTTCGGTGGATTAATCTTGTCTGGTAGAATGTGCTGTGAAATTATCGCTGGAAATGTATTTGAGGAGTTGGAGAGATCGTTGATAAAGGAGTTCAGGCTCTGGGGCAGCAGTGATGAGCGTTAGGGGCTAGCACTGGCCTGTCATATGAGGAAGTGGACTGAGAAGGGCAACTGGGTTCTTGTTTATTTCTGGACTTTTTGGTGTAGATAAGGCACATTTCCAAAGCGAAAACTTCTGCCTTAGGCACACTTAGGAATGTAAGACGCCTTCAGGGTGATCCCGAAGAAAACCATTTGCAAAAAAAAAAAATTTTTTTTTTTTGAATTTTCTATTGCTTGTACAAATTTGGGATGGAGGTGGGAGAACGGAAGTTGAAAAACTAGCATTACTGGAATTGAACGAGCCAAGTGTTATCATAATCTGCTGGAAGTTGCTATTACACTATTAATAATAGCTTAGCAGTGCACTATTAAATCACCCCAAGGTACCACTGGTTTAGTAGTTATTATATTCTACCCCGGATGGTGAAGAGAGTGCCCATGTTTCGTATGTGTGTGTGCGCTTTTTTTTAAACAAGTTTTTGAAATTTGTGTGGACTTCATTTTTACACAAATTGCTTTGAATAACACATTGTGTCTAGTGTTAAAATAGTCCACCACCTTAAGACTTCTTGCCTACCTTGTGTAAACTCTTAGGACTTTATACTTAGGTATGGGTAAAAACATTGACTTTGAAATAAGACTTTTGGCTAAAAATAGTTCTGAATAGCCCCACTACTACGACCCCAACCCCTTTAAGGTACTATCTCCTTTTTTCTACATCTGTATCTGTTTTTAAAGGGCTTGGGTGATGGCCAAACCCTAACTTGGGCTGATTACTTGAAAAGATAATCAGTCTTTCTACATTCACTTTTGGAGTAGGTAGGTCACCTTTAGGCCATTTACATATTTCATTTGTGTGTTGCAATGAGAACTGATCCTTAAATTTGCTTATTAGAATAGTGACAGTTCAGTGTTCAGAATATTTTAAAAAAAAAGTTTTCCTTTTATAAAAATGGCTTCATTTTGCTTTTTCTTTTTGTTGACTTATTAAATAGCACCAACAGAATGGTTGTTAAGACTGTTTACATTTCACGTTATTTGGAATCGGTAATGTTTGTTTTAATCTTCCAAATGAAACCTCTCAGAACGATCTTTATTGGTTTTCTGGTTTCCCCCCCCCCCCCCCCCACCAATCTATAGTATTAAGAGTGAAACAATTCTTGCCCACTGGAAAACCAGTAAAGATTATTTCTTAAACAGATTTCTCCACCCATTTTCTTAAAAATCTTTTCTGTTCAGTGGCTTCATTTATTATTGTAGATTGTTGAATGTTTATCTCCTTAGATAAACGGTCAATTCCCTTGCCAGAAAATTATGCCTCCTTATTGATTTATGGTCCCCTTTGGCCACATTCCATGCTCAATCTGCTGGTAATCAGTAGAATATTCTAACTTCTCTTATATACCCCCGAGGATTAAACAAAGTAGCCCTTTTTCTCTCTGTCCCCCTCCCACTCTTCCCCTAGTTGTAGCTAGGAGATGTTTTAAGTCATGGCATCAACTGGAGAAAGAGTGAAATAGCGTGTACCAGCATGATCATTGAACATAGATTCCCTTTAAGAGGGCAAGGTATATGTCTGAAGGAAATTAATGTCCTCTTTCCTCCCTCGCTTGTCTTGTGTTTGTTTATGTAAAGTGTTTGAATAGTCTGGCCTTCTCCTGGAGTGTTTTCTTCCCCGCGAATAGTCATTCCTGTGTACCACATGTGAGTTAACTGTAGGTTTTCCTGGCTGCCTGATTATCTTATAAGTACATTAGTGATTCTGTATCTCGGTGACTTTACTCATTGGCCTGCATTCAAGTGCGTTGAATTCTGGTCTCTTCTTAATGTATGAGGGTCTTTGATGAGACAAGAAATTATTTAATGGGAACATGAAGGAAATCATCATTTAGGTTCTTGAAAAAAAATAGCTGAGCGATAGCACAGCGGGTAGGGCGTTCGCCTTACAAGCGGCCAACATGGCCGACCCGAGTTCGATTCCTCCGCCCCTCTCGGAGAGCCCGGCAAGCTACCGAGAGTATTCGATATGCCAGACACAGTAACAACAAAGTCTCCCATGGAGACGTTACTGGGCCCGCTCGAGCAAATCGACGATCAACGGGAGGGCCTTTACCTTTACCTTTACTTGCAGTAGAAGAGTGTGAGATATGTTTTGTGTCTATATTTTATATATATGATTTTTTTTCCCCCTTTGAAGCAAACGGCCGGTGTTGGTTCTTCAGAATGAAGCACTTTATCCACAGCGGCGCTCCTATACAAGTGAAGATGAAGCCTGGAAGTCTTTCCTGGAAAACCCGCTCACTGCAGCAACCAAAGCGATGATGAGCATCAATGGAGATGAAGACAGTGCAGCTGCACTGGGCTTACTCTACGACTATTACAAGGTAGGTTTGTCTGCACTTTTAAAACCCTTTAACAGTCCAAGTTGCACTTGATTCAGCACCATATAAAACAGTAATTTGCTGGTAGAATGTAATGCAAGTTGCTTCTGTAGTGACTATAAATACTTTAATGAGTACTTTGACTTACTGTGGTTCAAAGCTGAAAAATCTACAATCACAGAATCAAAGGGTTGCTTTTTAAATGTAGCAAGGAGCCAGCTGTTCCAACTCTGTCTGAACGGTGGAGTTACTGGGGAGGAAGATGGTAAATGCGGCTTACTGAGACTGAATACTTGACCAAGGGTAGCCCTTACGGCCGTCAAGTCACTGTAATTAATTTATCTGCATTCTAACCTTGACTCCTCTGGAGGCATGGTGATTTCCTTTTCCTTAAATGACGTCACAGAGCCTTTCATTTGATTGTTGAACTCTTTTTTTCAAATTTCGGACTTTCTAGTTCTAAGAACAGGATGTATTTTGTGGTCTGTTTCTAGGGAGTTAGACTAGTCTTAAATGTATTCTCTGCATTAATTTTTCATGGTGTTTATGTCTGGAGATGACCACCCATGCATCTTATCATTGTCATCAACACCATCAACTTTGTTCTAATAACACTACCTTTTATTTATTACCTTAATTAGATCAGACATAATGCCAGCATATAGGTTAGTTATAATTCTCCAGAAATCCTGCTAATTGTATGACATTATTCCCATATTTCAGGTGGGAAAAAAAAAGAGTTCTCAAGTCACAAAACTAGTATGTGTTATTCCTGGTCTGGTGTGTGTTGGATTTTCTTGGCCTGCCCAGGAGCAGACTCAGGGATGGCTACACACTACATTGTGCTGTGGACATCTTTTTGTTTTGAAAACCTTTCAAACCTATCAAAAACTTAAAATGATGAACGGTGGAGTTAGATTTCACTGAAACCCACCATTTGCATGTCTTTTGTTGCATTCTAGAACCAGGGCTTCCCTTCTCCCCACCCCCCCCACACACACCCCAATACAAGGAATGCAGAGGGATGAAAGCAGAGAAGATAGTTTGATTAGCAAAATTAGAGGGAGACTTGAGTAAGTGATTTCATCATTTTCTGCTATGAGATCACATGTCCAGTCTATTATGATTGAAGGGCTGAGACAACTCTTTTCCCTTTGGCCCTGAATAGAAACTTGTGTAGGAACTAACAATGTCAGGAGAAACCCTCGCCTGGGAAGTGTTGGCTGTGAAGGGATCCTTTGAAGTCTAATTTATTATATATCTGTTCTTATGACTTGTTTTATTGACTCCACCTGTGTAAAAAAAACACATAAGTTCCTGAGTACTTACTATGAAGTTCGAAGTTGCATGTCTTTTAATGAAATGTGGGGTGGGTGGAGGGAACCAGGTTTAGTGCTGGCAAGACTGGTGTTTAACACTCTTTTCAGTAGTTGTGTGAGTGTTTTAAGTAAAGGATCCTGAAAGTATTTTACCTCTCAGGAGATTAATCCTCATACCTGTCCATTAAGAACAATCTGACCTAGTCAGATTTCTTGACATCAGTGGAGGAGGGTCATTTTCTTTTTTTTAAATGAACGTAGAGGCTTGTTTCCATAGTTTGGTTGTAACCATCAGTCACTTTTACAGTATACCGTTGGTAAGTTTTAAAAGCACATTGTTCACTCAACCGATCCTTTTAACTTTGCATTTTATCCAAAAGAAAGGATTGTGGAAGAGGGCAGCGAGAAAGCTGAGAGAGGCCAATTGTGTCTTCGGAAGCCTCTTCTCTAGTATGTGATTTATAGAAATATGGGCCTACCCAGGCCAAGGGTATTTCCTTCCATGAAGAGATAAAAACCAGACACCGGGTATACTTGTAATGCCCTGGGTTTGTTTGTATGGCAACTATATAATAGTTGTTTTTTACAGACCAACCTGGTACCACCAGATTGTACACTCCGTAAGACAGATGCTGTTCCATTGGTCTGGGGTCCCCAGTACCTGGGGTTTGGTAGAGAGTAGGTAGATGGGTGGTTTTGAACTTACCAAGAAGTGAAAGGCTACGTATCTATCCTTCACTGGGTTGGAACTAAATTCTTGTCGTATGTGCCAATATCTAAGGTTCCGAGAGAGAGAAGATCATCCACAGCAAAACCAGATGTTGAGCACCCAGAGCCAGATCACAGCAAAAGGTAATGTTCTTAATAATTCATACATTCTGAATGCCTACAGTTATCTAAAACTAAGATGAGTTCATTTAAATGACCCAGCATGAGGGCAGAGATAGGTAAGTGTCTTCGTATCAAAATTCAGATTTGCCTTGTGGTGGTTTAGCTTCAGTTGTCCTGAGAAGTGTCCAGATTCTTAGGCATCATCACCTTTCATAGAAAACAAAAGATCCACTTTCTCTTCCTCCAGAGGGTTGATTTGATCTTAGTAGCACTATAGCACTGTCCTCCCGTTGTTCATCGATTTGCTCGGGCACCAGTAACATCTCCATTGTGAGATTTGTCGTTACTGTTTTTGGCATAGTGAATACACCACTGGGAGCTTGGCAGGCTCTGCTGTGTGGGCGGGATCTTAGTAATGACATAAAATAACTGAGTGAAGTGTTTGCTTCCCTCCTTCCCTTTTGTTTTGTTTGGCCCCCCCCCCCCTCCCCACTGCATCTGAACTACTTCTGACTCAGTGCTTGGGGTTTGCTGTCTGTGGTGCCAGGGATCAAAACTGGGCCTCCTACATGCCAAGTATGTTCTCTAGCCTGCTGAGATTTCTCGGATCCTGCTTATTGTTTCTTTAGGGGTGTTTTTGTTTGTTGTTGTTGTTGTTGTTTGGGTTTGGATTTGGGGCCGCATTCTGCTGTGCTCAACTTACTGCTGGCTCTGAGCTCAGGGATCACTCCTGGAGGGGTTCAGGGGATCATACATGGTGCTGGGAATCAAACCCAGGTTAGCTGTGTGCAAGGCAGGTGCCTAACCCACTGTACTATCTCTCTAGCCCTTGTTTTTGAGGTTTTCTTAAGAAGGATATGATGGGGATTTAAGGCCATGGTGGGGATCCATTTAAAAAAATTATGTGGGGCTGGAGTGATAGCACAGCAGGTAGGGCGTTTGCCTTGCATGCGGCCGACCCAGGTTCGAATCCCAGCATCCCATATGGTCCCCTGAGCACCACCAGGAGTAATTCCTGAGCGCAGAGCCAGGAGTAACCCCTGTGCATCGCCGGGTGTGACCCAAAAAGCAAAATAATAACAATAATAATAATAATAGAATAAGTTATGTGGAGGGGAAGGGGCTGGTGGCTGGAAGCAATAGTACAGCGGGTAGGGCACTTCCCTTGCACATGGCTGACCTGGGTTCGATCCCCAGCATCCCATATCATTCCCCAAATACTACCAGGAGTAATTCCTGAGTGCAGAGCCAGGAGTAACCCCTGAGGTGTGCCGGGAGTGGCACCAGAAAATAAAGTTACGTGATGGGGCTGGAGCAATAGTAGAGCAGATAGGGTGTTTGCCTTGCGTGTGGTCAACCCAGGTTCAATCCCCAGCATCCCATATGGTCCCCTGAGTACCACCACCAGGAGTGATCCTTAAGTGCAGTCTACTATCACTCTGGCCCCCATTTTTAAAGAATCACAAATCGCTCAGCTTCCTGCTATCAGAGTAGTTCTGTTTGGTACACATGCGTGCTTCATGTGGTTGTAATTATATTTTCAGGTAGGATTTGGTTGTACGTGGTTGTTTTCTTCAACTGAATATGTTTTATATTTATTTTCCATGTTGCTGTTTTCATCTTCATATTTGAATAGGGTTGATGGCTTATTTTTACTTTTTACTTTAGGCCTTTTCAAACACAGTGGTCAAGAAATAGTCTATTTCAGGCTCCTATGTACATTTTGTACATTTATCCATACCAGCCCTCCTAGGGTTTTGCCGTATTTTCTCTCATTGTCATCTTTAAAAAAAATTTTTTTACTGGAGATTTTTGTTTCTGTTTTATTTTTTGTGATGGTGGTGGAGAAAGCTCCCAAGCAGTCTCGGAGGGTTCAGGGGCCTCTCCTGGGGATGCTCAGTTCAGCCAGGTCAGTACTGCCCTGGGGGGTCCCAGGCCTCCTCGTGCCAGGCATATTCCCATCCTTTGAGCTGTCTCTCAGGCCCGTGTACTGCCGTAATTTTTGTTTTGTTTTGGAGAAAGGGGGTGTGGTCTTGGGCCACACCCAGTGGTGCCCAGGTGTGGTGCTCAGTGGTCACTCCGGGCAGTACTTTGGGTCCATGTGGTTCCAAGGACCAGACTCGGCCTCTCTGACCCTAACAGTTTTTTTTTTTTTTTTTTTACTATTACAAAGTCTTAATGGCTTTCTAGATAGGTTACCCGCCCCACACACACACACTTTTTTTTTTTCTTTTAAACTAGAAACCACAAAGCCCTTTCAGACTGGGCTCTCGGATGTGGGCAGTGCTCAGCCCAGAGGTGCTGGTCCAGTGTTTAGTCTTTGGGTCTGGCAGTACTTTGCTGCTTAAGCCCAGCAGTGCTGCGAGTTCCAGGACTAAACCTGGGGATGGTCCAGGGGCTGTCTCTGCTAGGGCATCGTACTCAGGGACTCAGACATGCTAGGCATGTGCTCTGCGACTTGAGTTGGCCCCCAGCTCCCCCGCCCCCACCTTTCTAGAATAAAGTACTGGGAGTTTATTGATCCAGGTTTAAAATATTTTGTTGACCTTGAAATGTGCAAGATTCCATATTTTTTTCTGTTTAAAAGTTGCAATCTTGAGGCTGGAGTGATAATACAGTGGGTAAGACACTTGCCTTGCACACGGCTGGCATGGGTTCGATCCCTGGAACCCCCTAGGGTCCCCCAAGCCCCACCAGGAGTGACCCTTGAGCTCAGAGCCAGGAGTAAGTCCTGAGCATAGCCGGGTGTGGCCAAAAACAAACGAAAAAGTTTCAAATACGATTTGAGAATGTTTTAAAAATTCATTAAGTTTTAATTCTGGACTAAAAAAGCGTCTTCGTAGTTTAGGATAATTTGTGAAACCAGAAGTGATCTTACAAATAGTTACTGGTGCCGTCTGACCACAGGTTTTCTTCTGGTGAAAGAAAAGGCCAAATCAGTATAACTGTTAGGAGAAGGAGAAGGGAAATAGCTCATGCTTCTTTTTTTTTGCTTTACTTCTGGTTTGCTTTTATTTGGGAGCCATACCTGGAAATACCCAGGGGTTACTCTTGACTTTCTGCTCAGGGATCACTCCTGGTGGTGCTCGAGAGACCATGCGTTGTGCCAGGAATTGAGCTGGGGCTGGGTGCATGTAAGGCAAATGCCTAAACCCCCGTAATGTCTCTCCGGCCCCGGTAGTTCACACTTAAACCCTTGCATGCCAGGCATTATAACTGCATTTCAGTGTATCCCCCTCATTTCATCATTCTCAGCCTCCTGTGGGGGATATTTCATGACTCCCATTTTATACGGGAGCAGTGTGTAGTCACCAAGAGATGAATAACTTGCTCCAGGTCACATAGAATTTGAACCGAGACAGTCTGACTCTAAGAGTCTGTAGTTGAATCACCTTTTTCGTATGATTCCACCTGCTCGTACCTTCAGGCTCCTAGTAAAATGTCATTATTGCATTAGGATCATGAGAAATAAAGCGTAGTAGAGAGCTCTGACTACTCAGTTTTCAAATAAAATTGGACTTATTTGGATTTTATTTGACCTATAATTATGAAGTTGTCTTTCTCTGGTAATGGGATGCCATGCCATTTTCTGTTTGTTTGGAGTCTACCGCATGTATTATCATTGTTGTTATTCCCGTCCCACCTCCCAGTGCCAATAGGAAAATAAACATCGGGGAACTGTATCAGCTTTGCGTTTGAGAACACAGGTTTCTTTTACTTTTCTTAAAGAAACAGCATCCCCAATGTGACTGAGCAGCCGCTCATCTCCGCTGGAGAAAACAGAGTGCAAGTTCTGAAGAATGTGCCTTTCAACATCGTCCTTCCCCATGGCAACCAGCTGGGCATTGATAAGAGAGGCCACCTAACCGCTCCTGACACGACAGTCACGGTCTCCATAGCGACGATGCCCACCCACTCCATCAAGACAGAAACCGAGCCCCACAGCTTTGCTGTGGGGATTCCGCCGGCAGTGTACCATCCCGAGGCCACCGAGCGTGTGGTGGTCTTTGACCGGAACCTGAGTACTGACCACTTCAGCTCTGGGGCCCAGCCCCCCAATGCTCAGAGGCGCACGCCAGACTCTACCTTCTCAGAGACCTTCAAGGAAGGCGTTCAGGAGGTACAGGAAACGAAAGCATCTTCCTCAGACGGCTGTGTGTTTGTCTAAGTATTGGGTGCCACCCCTTCCTTGTTATGTAAGCTTGAAACTCGGCCTGAAGTGAGTGGATTAGGAACAAAAGATTTTTTTTTTCCCAAAGAGTAAAGGCCCATGGGTATAATTTGTAAACTAAACCTATAAAACCAGAAATTATTATCAAGGGCACATGGCTAATCTTACCAGCAGCTGAGTTAACAATCGTGATTTCAGCTGAGTGCTTTGCTGGAGAAAGAGAACCCCGTACCTAATCTCCAGTCAACAACAGATAGATCCCAGTGGTCTGTTTTCAGCTTTTGTCCTTGCCCCAAAAACAAGCTGCCCATAACAGGGCCCTGCTGTCAGGGCCAGCAGGGAGAGCTCGACAAGAAAGGCGCCTTTCACGCAAAACACTTGGAGGGTTTGGTGTTGAGGAAGCCCTCACTCAGGTGAAAGAGGTGGAAGATGCTTAGAACTGTCCCCAGAAACTTGGGGTGGGGAAGGAGCTCATTTCTGCTTGCGGAGGTAACTTGGTCACCTCTCCTGATGGCGGGCCACAGCGCGTCTGGCCAGGCGTGAACTTGGTATTCTGCATCCTGATTCCCTTGGCTGGGTCCGAGTCCACAGTGGGAACAGAAGTAGAATATGCGGGCAGGGAAGATGTCTTCTGAGTCCCTAGATTGCCTGGATTTGGTCAAGTGGCACATAAAAAAAAAAAGGACATTTTTCTTTCTTTCTGGTTTTTTTTTTTTTTTGGTTGTTTTGTTTTTCAAAACATTTTATAGTAAACTACTTTTTTTTCCAATGAGTATTGAAAAGGGTAGTGGGGGTGCCGTAAGCCACCCACTTTCGTGCTATAGCAGACAGTGCTCGTCAAGGGAGCCTGATAACCGGTTAAATCGTTGTGGCTTATTACGTTGATATTACAGGTTTTCTTCCCCTCGGATCTCAGTCTGCGGATGCCTGGCATGAATTCAGAGGACTATGTTTTTGACAGTGTTTCTGGGTAATAGTTGTCTTTTCATTTGATTTTTAACTTTCAGTTTTTATGTCTCTGTCCCTTTTTGTTAACTTGACGTTAAACCACTCTGAGGCGGTGTCTGCGGGCTCTCCCCTGTTCTTCCTGGTCTCCGGCAGCGCCTCTGTGAGCCGACACGGGCTCTGGTGCATCTAGCTTTGGCCTCTGAGCTGTGTTTCGAGCTTCCTCGGTTCTTGGTGTTGGTGCTTTTTCTTCCCTTTGGTTTCATTATGCGATAGTCAGAGCATGAACTCCAAAAAGACCAGATCACATCAGATCTGTGAAATCCCTTCTGCCTTCAAAAATACATAATGCTGTGGCCGTCTAGAAAAGAGCATTAGGTGAATAAGACTTCTTAAAAATCAGTCTCACAAATGATAAACGAAGTTAGCTATTTTCCCTGACCTGACAACCTCTTCTTTTTAAACCTCATAAAGTTTATCTTTGCATTCCTAAAGCAAATAAAAATGAGTCTTGCTTCAGGCATGCAAATAGCCTTCAAGTTAATTGTGGATATACATATGTACATATAATATATATACATATATAAGTAACTTCAGATTTTAAAAATAATAAACTAAGATTATATTATATACTTTTATGTGTATTTTTTTTAAATGTGTGTGTTATGTATTGAAATAGGAAAGGTTTTATTTGAAGGTCTAGAATTTTTTGGGAATTGAAACTTCCCTTACATTCCTGCCTCCGGGTTTAATAGCCACAAACTCAGATCCCATTTCAGATCTAGGACAGGTATCAGCAAACTTTGTCTGTGAAGGATCAGATAGTAAATATTTCAGCCTTTGTGGACCATACAGCTTCTGTTGCAATACTCGGCCTGCACCATCGCATATTCAGCCAGAGATAATATGTAAACAAAGTGGTGGCTGTATTCCAGTAAAACTTTATAAAAGTAGCTGCAATTTGATGGCCCCTGATGGTTCTGAAAGGTTATTAAACAACCTTCAGGAGGACAGATGTGTGGCACTGTAAAGTAATAAGAAACATGAAGAATTATTGAGGGCCAGAGAGATAATACAACAGATAGGGCGTTTTACTTTGTATGCGGCTGACACGGGTTCGATCCCCCAGCACCCCAGAGAAGCCAGGGGTAATTCCTGAGAGCAAAGTGAGGAATAATCCCTGAGCACTGTTGGGTGCGGCCCCAAAACAAAAACAAACAAACCAAACTAAACAAAACAAATTGTTGAGGAACCAGAGAGATAGTACAGCAGGTTAGGTGTTGCCTTGCATGCGTGCAAACTGGGTTTGGTCACCAGCACCCCATATGGTCACCCGAGCCCCGCCAGGAATCAACCCTGAGCACAGAGCCAGGAATCAGCCCTAAGCAGGTGTGGCCCAGAAACAACAAAAAAAAAATCAATCGTTGAGTGTCCCTCTAAAGACAGTTATAAATTATAAGCAAAACCAAAAACTGCTGTGAAGAACCAGGTTGAATTTAGCAAGAACTACCGAACCCTTGTCTGCAATTTCTGGGTAAATACCAGATTGGAAGCCTACCTTGACTTTTGCTTCCAAAGTCCTTTCACTTGTATCTCTCCGATCCTTAGCTTCCAAACTTCTCAGCGTTCGTATCACGTCATCGAATTTCCAATAGGCATCGTATATTTCACATCTGAGAGGCTAGGGAATTTCTGGGTTGCTTAAGATCATGCTTGCCCTGGGAGAAGTGACAGACTCGGATAGGACCTAATGAGTCGGCTGTTTGCTGGCAGCCTGCTGCTTGGCCTCAGCCACCCTGAAGCGTTGCAAGATTGAGCTGTAGCATCCAGGAAACTGACGAGAGGTGATTCGAGATTTGTGACTTTTCTGGTTCTGTAGGAACAACTTTGAATATACCCTGGAAGCTTCGAAGTCCCTGCGACAGAAGCCAGGGGACAGCACTATGACATACCTGAACAAAGGCCAGTTTTATCCTGTCACCCTAAAGGAAGTGAGCAGCAATGAGGGGATCCACCACCCAATCAGCAAAGTGCGGGTAAGTTCTGCTTCCGTTCTCGACTCTCGGAAAGCCTGTCAGAGCTCAAGCCCCACACCCCGACCCACCACCTCCACCCCGGGCTGAAGGAGCCACTAACTAAAGACCAGACGCCAGGCTGCCTTTTGCGGCCTTAAATGCAGGATCCGTATGTTTTCCAAAAAAGATACTCATCTCTCCGTGCTTGTCTGCCCTAATGGATTCCCTTTCGTAGAGCGTGATCATGGTGGTGTTTGCTGAAGACAAGAGCAGGGAAGATCAGTTAAGGCATTGGAAGTACTGGCACTCCCGGCAGCACACAGCTAAACAAAGATGCATTGACATAGGTAAGTAGCTCTGCAGCCCGCTTTTATTCCCAGAGGTGCAAAGCATCCAGTTTTCTAAATCCAATTATTTTTGGCAGTGAACAGCTTCCTGCCAAGAGCCTTTGCATTTTCATGCCAGCTACTGATCGGTTCCAAACACTGTCCCTGGCCTCCGGGAACCAGTGCTCTGAACATTACTTCCTTCAAAAGGACATAAGCCCCATGCAGTGGCTTTCCACGGGACGTTGGAGCCAGAGCTCTGTGGCCAGCTCATGACAAGTGCCCCGCTTTCCAGTCTGTGGAGGTTTTTTTGTTTTGTTTTGTTTTGTTTTTTGGGGGGGAGATTCTTTATGAGAGTCCGCTAAGTAGGAGATAGACGTTGGGTAGAGAAATCAAATGGACCGCCTCCCCTAGAACTGAATTGCATCGCCAGCCTTTCCTTAGAGATTCAGCACCTGGGAAATAGCAACCGGCCAGGACTTTGAACAAGCTTCATGAGGACCCTGTTCTTGCTGTGTGTGTGTGTGTGTATCTGTGTGTCTGTGTGCCTGTGTGCCTGTGTCTGTGATTTTACATAGAAGCATTGCTGATGTCACTAGGTACTAACTGTCCCTCCTAGCGTTCCTTTGACTTTTGTTATGATTGTGTTCTCTTTTCAGAATTAAAGGAAGCTGATTTACCTGCAATAGTTTTGTGACCTGGGGACAGTGATTTAATTTTTCCAATTTTGACATGTTGGTAGGGCTGGAGCGATAGCACAGCAGTAGGGCGTTTGCCTTGCACGCAGCCAACCCAGCCGAGCCGGGTTCAATTCCTCCGCCCCTCTCAGAGAGCCTGGCAAGCTTCCGAGAGTATCTCGCCCACACGGCAAAGCCTGGCAAGCTACCCGTGACGTATTCGATATGCCAAGCACAGTAACAACAAGTCTCAAAATGGAGAGGTTACTGGGCCCGCTCGAGCAAATCGATGAACAACGGGAGGACAATGACAGTGACAGTGACATCATGGCACTCAGTATCTAAGCTTCCCTCTATTGCAAAAATTCTGAATTCCTTTTCTGTGTGTGTGTGTTTTGTTTTGTTTTGTTTTCCCTCCACAAAAACTGTTAAATTATCCAGTGGCAATAATGTCAAAGTAGCATCTTACTTTGAGTGGCTGTCCTCTCCTATCGGAACCAGAACTCATGAATTCTTGTTTTCCTTTCCTCGTTCTTCTAGCTGACTATAAAGAAAGCTTCAATACCATCAGTAACATTGAAGAGATTGCTTATAACGCCATTTCTTTCACTTGGGACATTAATGATGAAGCAAAGGTAGGTACTAAAGCCTGAGAGGCTGGGGAAGAGCCATAAAGTTGGAAGTGCTCGAAATCGGGACAGGATTTTGGGAGAAGTAGCTCCCCAAATCAGCGTTTTCCTTCATGTTTGTCAGAGCCACTGGAATTCTTCACTTTCTCTCTTCGAACAGTCTTTCACATTTTCCGAAATGAACAGTTTCTTCTCAGATGTTCTGGAAATCTCCTCCCCTTTTCATCTTCCCCTTCCTCCAAAAAGAGACCGGATTGGTGGCTACCCTGGGCATGCACTGGGCGTGGCATCTAGTGCGGGGCCCCTGGGGCCAGCCTCTGCCATCGTGGAGCTGCTGCCCCTCCAGGCTGCCCCTTCCCCCTCACTCTCTTTCCTTCCGTCCTGTCTCCTCCTCCATCACGGAGGGCAGAAGGAGGTTTCAGACAGTACCTCAAAACTTTGGAGTTTCTTTCCTAAAGGCCCTTATAGTCAGGTTTACACCAGCAACTCTGTTAGGGGTCACGTTCTTTGAATATGACCCCGGTATTGTTGTATAAATACATAACATATAAAGTGTAGATAATCAAGTACAAATAATAAATATATTACTTAGCTTAATGTATTTGTTCACATAAAAAGTATAAAATATCACATACTCCCTGAGTCTTCTCAGACTTTTACAAGTGAAAAATTGTCCCTAATCCAGATGGTCGTTTGGCTAATTATAATGGAAGGCTTTAGTACTTTTAAAGGAAAAATAAGCGTATTTTAAAGTGATGTCTGCCTTTTTTCACAGCTTCCCCCACCCCCCCCAGTATAATTCCTATTGTCACTAATTACTAGTGTTCAGATATTTGTTTTTTGTCTGAAAAAAAAAAATTTTTTTTTTGAGGGGAGGGTGTCCTGGGCTGTGCTCATTGAACCCGAGTCAGCTGTGTGCAAGGCATGTGCCTTACCTGATGTACTATTTATCCAGTCCCTCTGGATTACTTCTATAAAGTATGTAATCAAGAAATAATAAAGAACTAGGCACAAAGTTTTACTCGTCGGTCCTTTCAACTTTTCTTTCTGTGGCAGGGCGATAGCTGGGTGGCAGAACACTTGCCTTGCTTCTTTGTGGCCACGGTTCAGTTCCCAGAGCTGCAAAACAAACGAAAACCCTTATCAACCTCTCTTTTTAAATTTTTCTTTTATTTATTCAGTAAGATCCTTTTGCCGGTGCTCAGAGACAATGAATTAGGTGCCAAGCATAACAGAATTTTGTTCTTTTTTGTTTGTTTTTTTCTTTTTTTTTTACTTCCGGCAGTTACTTTTTAAAAATCATGATTGGATTCTTGAGAACCAGGTTTAGTCTGTATTAAAGTTTACTTCCCTTTATTATTATCGTCGGTCTGTGCAAGGCAGCAGTGTGTCACTAAGACTTCAGGATCTTGCAGTTTGGATTCACTGAACTCTAAGGAAACTTAAGTTACTCTTAATTACATGAGGATTTTCCTGCTGACCGTCTCCATTCTTACACAGCTGTCCTCAGGCTGCTTGGTACAGAGTCTGATGCATGATGAACCGAGAAATTCAGGGAGGAAAAGTAAACGTGGTTTTACACCATTGTTCTTGTAGCTCTTTTTAAGTTAATTATCATAATAATAGTATAAGAAGAGCTGACCCTCCTGTTGCTTCTGTGAAAAGCAAATCAGAAGAAACACTCCTGGTTTGCCCCTTGGGTCTGACTGAGAACGTCTGGAGGAGCAGAGTAGGAAGGTGCGTGTTCTGAGTACGCTCTTCCGACCTCGGTGTGACTTCTGGCCAGTCCCTTGGCTCTGGAGCTCATTTTTTTCTGTTTTGGGGAGGCGTGGGGAGCCTTCTTACTTCCCAGGCTCATCGGGTATTGATGATGTCATCCGTGGGCCATACAGTCCAGTCACACATGCCTGTCCCTTCGTGGAGCAGAGCCAGACCACGTGATGTCGTGGGCCTTATGTGGCTGACTGGCTTTCCCCACCCCTGCTCTCGGGAAGTCGGAAGGCTACAGCGACCGACTCTCTTCTTGGTCAGAGTTTTGTCAGGATTAATAAGCACTTGTCAGGGTGTGTGGAGGCCTTGGCGACAGAGCCCTGCTTGTGGGCTGGGTGCTTTGTTTGTCAGATGTGTCACTCGAGGGTGGGAGTAAGGCGAGTCAAGATGACAGGTGGGGATAATGGCTGGTTTTTATTCCCAAGACCTTCTGCATATTTGCACTGAAGAGGAGTACAGCTCCAAGGTGTGTCTTAAGTAGCCTTAATAGCATTGGTAATTGACGGAGGTGAATTCCATTTCAGTTCCCCTTCCAGACCCCCCAGCACTTGAACTTGGTGTTGAGGCCTTGGCTGCCGCTTCTTAATGAGGCTGCTCCCTTTTGAAGGTGATATCAGGCATCAGCTTGAAGCCAGTGGCGGAATCAAGTTATCTTAGTTTGGTGCTTTCCCTGGCCAAGTTGGTGTTTTCTGTTTTTTCCGCTTAAAGTAATTGACGCCCCGGGGCTGCCGAGAGCACAGATACACATGCAGAATCCTGTGTAGATTTCTTCTCACTGAGGGGACGTGTCATTCGGGGACTCTCCGTCCCAGTGCCTTCTCCTCCACAGACGTGAGGGTTCATTAGAGATAAGTGGTCTCTGGCCCAGCTCTGCGCCCACCCCCACCCCTGGCCCCTACTTTTGTAAAGCCATCTGATATCCCCCTTTCGGCTGTGCTGGCGTGTATAAACCCAGAATTTCAGAGTCACTGTGAGCAGCTGAGACTTCCGGGTAGCGTCTGCTGTTTGCTTTGGAGGTGACTATATTTGGAGGACACTGCAGGTCAAATCTTGAACACTGTGACTTATGCTCCAGTTTGACACCAACACTGTCCAAGCTAGTCTCACTTTTAAGCTGTCGCTGCGCACTCTGTTCACCAGCAGAACCAGATACCTGCGATACTGCACTGGAAGCATGAAGAAGTTAAGGAACTTATAGGGGAAGAATGTTTTTTACGAAGGTGGCAGAGGAGGGCTCAGCTTTGAAGAGCAGGATCCTCTTGGCAGCGTTTCCCCAGGCTGCCTGATTGCACCATTGTGCAGACCTGTTTTCTTCATTTTTTATGTACTCCATAAAAAGTTGGATTTGGGAGAGAGGCTAATCAGGCATTATTTGTTTATTGGGGAGGAAGGGTTTTCTCAAGCGGTGCTTAGGAGTCTCAGGGCCCTACCAATGATTCTTGGCCAGTTAGACCATGGTTTCAACATGAGGGCCTGAGGATGCGATATTGCTGGGTATATCTGGGCCACCTTGGTGGGGCCCTGGGCCCCCAGGGTTGTGCTTTCCAGTGCTGAGGGAGCCAATTGGTGTGGGGAGACCCCAGTCAGCAGGTGCCTTAACTGCTGTCTCTCCTGGCCCTATCAGGCATCGTTTAAAGAGTCAGAGATCTCTGAGTAAGTCAGAGTTCATCAAGAGTCTGTGTTGTGTGAACAATCACTCATGCTTCTTCCCTGGCTTGGCTGCTGAGTTCAGCTGTTTTAGGTCGTGTGAACCAGAAAAAGAAGCATCTCCCTTCGAAACATGAAGGGATGGAGTGCTGGCCAAGTGCTACAGTTTAGAGTTCCTCAGGCACTTGTCCTCTAGGGGAAGAGAGAACCAGCAAGTATGGAAAGCATAAGGAATGGTAGGGGGAGAAAAATAAACAGAATAGGAGGAAATTAACCAGGGTCAATTCTGTGCCCATTCCCTAACCCCCTCCCCCCAGTTCCAGGGCATCTGAGCGTCCAGCTGCCGGCTGAATGATGCCGTGTCTCAGGCTCAAACACTAGCACCGTGGTTCGGCTGTAATTGTGGGTGATGAGGCATCACATGTAGGAGGTCCTACATGTGATGACATCATGATGTACAAGGAAGCATGTTTATGCCATGTTACGTGTGAACTTCCGAGACACAGGCACAATCCTTAGAAACTAGGCTTACGCTGTTGTGTTCTAGTTTCAGCAATTCTGAAATCAAGTGAGTAATTCTGCATCAGCTGTACAGGTTGGCCTAGGGTTTGATTTCTTGCATGGGTTGTCAATCAGAGAGTTTACAACAGCAACTGAGATTGGGTTAGTGATAGGAGCCTCAGGGCCTCTCCAAAAAAGTCCGAGATCTAAAATCAGTAGAATAGAGAGCAGCTTGGGGAGGGTATGGACTCCTGAGAAGGCTCATCCTAGGTGAGGGAGTGTGCTAAGGCGTCTCAGCTGGACTCGCGCTTGCCCAGGCCAGGCTCCCTGTCAGTGTCCACAGGAAGTACCGTGCCCTCTGAGCATAGACGTGTTTGCAGCTCAGTCATGACAAAAGTGACCCCCGCCACACACACCCAGGGAGGCAAGATGCAGACCCTGTAAAGTACTGTTGACAGCGTTATTTTAAATTGTCAGGAATTTATGAGCAGAATGACATTACAATTCACTAGTATGTTTCTGTAGTAGAAGAACACTTTTTTCTAATAGAAAATAATTTATGTTGCTCGTTGGATGAGGAGTAGAAACCAAAAAACAGGGCCAGAGAGAGTACAAGGTGAGGCGCTTATCTTGCACCCGGCCGACCCTGGTTCAAACCCCAGCACCTCATCTGGTCCATCAGCGCTGCCAGGAGTGATTCCTGAGCACAGAGCTAGGAGTAAACCCTGAGCTCTGGGCCGGGTTTGGCTCAAAATAACAAAAACGTTGAAAACAGCTGTATTGTAGGTTGGAATCCGTTGAAAATTAGACAGGCCAAACCTGAGGAACACTGTAACCCCAGGGAACACTCACAGGGAGAAATACCTGTGACAGCTGTGGGGCATGTTGGGTTATATTTTTATTAACTAGACATGTCACATAGGAAAAAGCAGCAGCTCAAAGCAAAACTTGAGTTCTGTGATCATCTCCTTGGAACTGTGACCTCCATGAATATTAAGCAGACCTTTTCGAGGTGTAACGAACCCCTAGAATATAAAATATTCAGCTAACTAGGTGTCTTTCCCTCTCCGCTCCCCATCCCCACAATG